AAAATCATACAGTGGGCAGTTTAAAGAGTCACAGCCCTGAGAAGATAGAAGAATAGAGATTAAAGGGAATGAAATTGGAGCCATGGTGATTTAGAATACTGTGGCGTATGGTATATCATAGAGCATTTAAAATTATGTGTTAATTCAGTGATCTAGGTGGTAGTCTTCCATAATGTCTCTTGGCAGCCCATTCTAGTGCCCCAAGACTCTACAGAAACCTTTTAAAAAATCCAAATAAACTTTAGCATAGTTCTTAAAATTTTCATAATTAAAGGTTAAATATTGTTGTATTGACTAAGAATAAAAAAGGAGGCGGATTCAAATAATAGCCATTTTTACATTATTATAATGACCATCACTTATGACATTTTTAAAAATCTGATTTTCCTTTTAAGGTAAAGGCCGAGGTGCAAAAAAACGGAAAGTATCTGGCTCTGAAAATGAAGGTGAATACAATCCTGGGAGAAAAACGTCCAAGTCCACACCTGGCAAGGTGATCTATGACTTTGTTATCTCACTGTTTTGTTCAAGATCGTCATTGAGCGGTTGACTTAAGCAATTGTGCTACTTATTTCACTGAAATCAAGGCGGGCCACTTGACATGTCAGACATCAACCATGGCCTGTGCTTGGTTAAATAGGCTACTTGTCAGTGGATTTAGGAGAATTTCTTGTTCCTTAGCAAGTTTTAAATGGGTAAAAGTATTTCCATGAATTAAAAAATTGCTCATTTTGAATTTAGAGTTCATCTATGTTGAAGATAAGGAACAGACGCACTGCTCTCTTCCATACTATCCCTATAATAGTAGTAGGTATATTCTGTGAAGTTGGGGAGCTGTGCAGCTAGAAGGGTATCTTGTGTCTGACTCTTCATGACCCTGTGGACCATAGCATGCCAATGCTGTCAGTGGGATGTTCTTGGCAAAGATACTGGACTGGCTTACCATTTCCTTCTCCAGAGAAGGCTATTTTATAGATCATTTAATCCAGTCCGTCATCTTATATATAAAGAGACTGAGGGTCAAAAGGCTTGTGACTTTTCCAGTCATACAGCTAGTTAGGGGCACAGTTTGGCCTCCCTTTGCATCCTTTGCAATATGCCAGTTTGAATATTGTAAAATATCATTCTTTGTGACAAGTAAGGAAAGTTTTTTGAAAAAACTTTCAATTATTTTAACAAGGATTAATTTTTGGATTTCCTCTACCTGTACACTCCAACAAAGGAATGAATAGTATCAGGTACCTTTTTTATATAAGATAGTGAATCAGAAACTTCTTTTTTAATATTTTTAAAAATTAAAACTTTTCTTATCTCTTGTTGACTTGTAGTTCTAAAATGTGCTTCACAGGATTGGTAGTATATATGTTGATACTTAACTATTTGTCCTTTCCTCTCAAAATTGACACCCTTGGAAAACTCATCTTATGGTTTTAATTATAAGTTCAGTACTGATGACTTACAGATTTTCTGTACAGCCTTAACTTCACACATGTACTTCAGGTCTATGTTTCTGTTTCCCCACAGGGCATTCCCTTTTTGGGTGACCTAATATTCCCTCAAACTCAATGTTCAAAAGTGAACTTAGCATTACCCCATTCCCCTACCCTAAAAAAATCCAGCTTTCCATTTCTACTCATAACATCACGGTTCTTCCAGACTCCTGTCCAGGAAACTGTTGTCTCTGATGTCGCCACCTTCATCGTCTTTATATTGTTAACAATATAAAGAATTTCAGCTCTTCCAGGTGGCTCCCATTCTCCACTAGACCTGTTAACATGATTGTAATCCATTTTATTTTATAGAACTAGTTTTTTAGGCAGCGTGATTCTAGGATGTTGTTTACAGCATGTCTTGGTAGATTGCACCAAGTTAATTACAAACATACTCAAGTTTCTCCTTGAAAACAGGTGTATATATTGATCAGACACACAAGATTAAAATATACATTAGTTGGCTTTGGGGAAAATTTTTAGCAGAAACAAATTGTTAGCCTCGCAGTTACCTTGTTTGCATGGGGAATTTTAGCTGCAACAGACTACAGAACTCCTAACCAGCACTTTTCTGTAATAAATGTGTGTATGAAAAGCAGAAATAAGGGCATCATATTTTTCTAGGGATTCCAATGAATCTTTGGGTACCAGGAGTCAGGGTAAGATTCAGCCAACCCAAGAACAGAGGAACAGAATGAGAGTGCCTTGCCAGTGACCTCGAAATGGTTGAGGTCCAAAAAACAATCTCTAGGAGTAAACAGCTTCTAGAGAAGTCTGGAAACCTCAAGCCCCAAAAGCCTCAGCTACAGTAAAGAGAGTGTTTTGTTTTCTAGATTTATGCCCCCCAATCCTCCCATCCATTTCTGGCTTCAAAGCTCATAGCCTCCTATCATCTTTTACCACCACAAGGGGAGGGAGGAAAATGCCTCTCTACCTCTGCCCCTTTTCCTGGCATTGGACGGATGAACCAAATTAATTTATCTCTAGGGTGCTACGTACGAATTCTTCTCTGTTGTTTTCCTCATTGCTTACCTCTTCCATGAGGTGGGAAAGGTGGGCCTGCACTTGTGCCCACCTCAGGTAAAATCCAGCTACATTGTGAAGTGTGCTGTCTTCTTTAAAGGACAAACCCATTGAATGCAAAAGAAACTCTCCCCCATCTTGCTAGCCATTTCCGCAGCCCCTCAATGAGGGCCCAGGCACCCCTTCTCGGGCCCTCTATTCTGGCTAAGCCTGTCTCCAGGGGCAGCTGAACTGCAAACACGTTTGCTTCACGGCCACCTTTGTTCGCAAACCAGTTACCAACAGACACCCAGTTGGTCATCAAGTCCAGGCAGTTCTTCCACAGAATTGATTCTTGGATTTATCCCTTCTTTTCCATTCTTACTGCCACTAGTCTCTCTGCCTTTGTTATCCTGGGTATTATTCGTCTTGTCCAATCTGTTTTTGTCCGTGTCCCTCATCTTGTTCTGATGGCTCCTTTTTGTCTTCTAGGAAATTCTTTTCTATGGTGTTCGGGTCTTTGTCTCAGCTCCCTGCTTAGCCAGCCTTAATTCTCACTGTTGCCATCTTGTCAGTCCCATCTTTCTCCTGCCTCTCGTGCATCCATGTTCATTTTTACTGCCTATACTTTGACACTCCCCATACCTGAGTACACTCATTCTTTCCACAGAGCCAAATCCTCCCCCTCCTTCAAGGCCTAATTTATCCATCACACACTCTCAGAACTGGAATGGACCTTACAGATTAGGCCAGCCTTCATTTGACAGAGGAGCAGATTGAGCACTACATAGATGAAATTACCTGCCCGAAGCTGACAAATAGTAGAGCCAGAATTTGAACCCAGGACCTGCTGGCTTTTAGTCCACTTCCATGAAGCCCTTACAACTACTCTAGCCCGCAAGTTCTTTCCTTTTATAGCACTTAAAAGAGTTTGAATCACACAATTTAGCACTTAATTATAAATTACATTCATTCTGATCATTTCTGGTACGTGCAGTCCCTGATAGTCCAAAAGCATACATTCTCCTAGGAGGGCCTAGAGTTAGGCAATAATGAAACAGTGAACCAGGGTGCCTCCCCTCCTGAACGAGAGAATTATTTATTTTGTAAGGAAGTCTTTGGTGGGACCTTAGGTATCCAAGCAGGATTACCTGCTTCTTCCACAAGTCCAGTGTAGAGCCTGGACCCATTCATTTTGAGCCTGGCAAGGAAAAGGAAGAAGAATCATCTATGAGATTTGGTAGAGTGGGTTAACATAGGTATATGTTTTTGTCATCATCTTCTTCGTGATAATAGTAGTAGTTTAAGGTTTACAAAGTCCTCTACAATTACATTATTTGATCCTTACAACAACACTCTGAGGCAGGTGCTGTTATCCCCATTTTACAGATAAGGAGACTCAGAGGTGAAGTGAGTTGGCGAGTGTCACACAACTGTCTGAGTCAGGATTTGAACTCAGGTCTTAGTAATTCCACATCCCTTGTTCTATCTACCCACTGTGCTACCTCGCTGCCTCTGGCTTGGTACTTAGACACCCCAGCTCTTAATCCACTACTGTGTCCTAGTTTTGTTTCCCAAAACAGATTGTAGGTGCTTTGAGTGTGAGAATCGTGACTGACACTACTTTTATTTTGCCCAGCTACAATGGGAATACTGGAGGGGCTTGCTGAATGTTTGTGGTTTGGGTTTTTTCATCAGTTAGCCTTCAGATATGAAATCATTGTGGGTGGTGACTGTGTTCTGACATCTCCCTAGAACCCAGCACCCCTCTCTCGCTTGTGTCTATGGGACAGGTAAAGTGGGGAATTGCTTGATTCCATCTACTTTCTGAGGAAAACATGGTTTGTTTTCTTCATTGAACGTAAACTTCTTTGCTTTTTAATAAAAACCGCAGCTGCCATGAAGACTTTTATATGTTAGGTGGAGTGTGAACAGTAGTTTTTCTTGGATCGTTAAATCCAGTTTTTTGTTTTTTTTTTAATTCTTAGAAATCCAAGAAGGCCTCCTTCGACCAGGATTCAGACGTGGACATCTTCCAGGCAGACTTTCCCCCTGAGCCACCATCTCTTCCTCGGACAGGTCGCGCCAGAAAAGAAGTAAAATATTTTGCAGAGTCTGATGAAGATGTTGATTTTGCAATGTTTAATTAAGTGCCAGAAGAGCACTCAAACATTTTCAATGACTACCTTGTGTTGTCCTTTTTTGTCTTTTCTGTCGCAGACTTTTGTACATTTGGCTTATTTTACTGTGATGATGTAATAGATGGTTTTTATTATTGTGTGTAGGCCTTTTAACATTTTGTTCTTACACATACAGTTTTATGCCCTTTTTTACTCATTGAAATGTCATGTATTGTCTGATTGGCTTGTAGAGATGTTCTAGGCTGCTGTGCTTAAGCACACATTTTAATTGTCATGGTTGCAGACTAAGGACCTGCTTTTTGAAATGAAATTTAAACATTAAAAATGGAACTGTGTTATCTGCCTCTTTAATGAAGATAAACTCAAGCTCCCACACACCTTTAAAATAAATATATTTTATTCTTTGCCAGGAGACTCCATGGAAAAAGGTAAACAGTATATGAACATAGAAAGCATTGTTAAACAATCTCAATGTACAAACAGAGCCAGTGAAAGTACATCACAGACTTCCTAAAATATCAGGGGAAAAAAATCCACTAGTGCTTAAATGAGACCTAAGAAACTGACCCTTTCATCTGTTAACCACTCTATTACAGTCAAAAGAGACAGATTCTCTGCCCATGCCTTTGGGAATTAGTGATGGCCCTTGGCATCAAGGAGGCTGGCGAATCCCCACACTTGGCATGACTTGCAAAGTATAGGTGGTAGCCCAGCCTACTCGTTGTCCAATGACATTTCCCTAATGGCTTGTGAACGGGTAAACAGAAACATCCTAACACTGAAAAGTGTTTCTGCCTTGTCGGCTGTCCTTACTGTAAAAATGCAGTATCTCTTCTCCTTCAACTATGTAGTTCTGTCATCAAACACGTAATAAACCACTTCTCATTTAAAGTGACATTAACAGTTGGACAAATGACATTGGATTAAACTGAACTGGCAGTTACGCTGAAACAGAAGTCTGTTCTGCTAGTGCAGCGAGGTCATCTACTTGTTACGGGGCAACACGGAATCGAAGATGCAGTTTGAGAGCATCAGAAAGAGCCAGGACACGTTTCCATACGAACTAACCCAGAATCTCTCTCAACCTCCCTTGTCTGGATGTACATTCCAGTCTTACGTTGTTCCCCGGGTGTCTGGAGCGGTCTGGGAAGGCAAGACCGCGTCTCTTTAACCTTTCTTAACTGGACAAGGACAGTCGCCTCGTTTTTCACGACCTTGACGTCGCGGTCGTTTGGGGTATGCAAGACAAGAGGAAAGCACCACACATCCAGTCGAGAAAGAGCAGAGCCAGACAACCGTATGTAGAAAGTCCTTAGAACTCTAACCGGGGTTTCAATCAGGTGGAATTGGTCTTGTCATGCAATCTTGAGTGTTTAGAAGAGAAAATAGAAGCTTTTAACGCATTTCTGGTTGCATGAAATGGCTGATTTTAACATTTTTAAGTCTGTATTTCTAGTTAGGAATCAAACAGTGAGGAGTATATATATATATGTATATATATATATTTATATATTGGTACATATGAAAACTTCTTGGTCCTTCTTGAATTTTAATATATCTTTTCAGTCCCAAAACTAAGCAGCAGTAAAAAAAAAAAATCTTCTTGCTTTTTAAATCCGGGAACAGAAGGTAGTGGGGAATGTCGGAAGTGACTGGAAAATGTCTTATTGCACCAGTGGGGACTGCCCGACCCCGCTGTTCTCCATGGAGCTGGGTGAGATGCTAGGACTGTGCTCTGCCGTGTTGCCACTAGAACTTGGTGTCAGGGGTTCATGTCCTTCAGAATTCTCCAGCATTTCCTGAATGAGAGGGGGCATTGAGCCAGGGATTTCCATTTTCAGCGTGATCACACGTTCTGCACCTTTGAAAAGAGAGCAAAGAAATCTGCTGAAGTTGTGCCACGTGACTTTATTCCTCCCCTCGGCACACCAACATAAGGGACTTTAGGGCTCCCTTCACAAGGACACCTCCTCCTTCATACCGAATGTCGCCTACGAACAATCTAGTTTGGGAACGCAAACGAGCAGATGCCTCTTCGTTGCTGAAGTTTTAAAAATGAGACCATAAATAGTTTCTGCAAGTTAAAAAAAAGCCAATAACTGCATGACCCAGATTATTCTCTTCAATAACATGATGCTGATCGCTAATCATTTTTGAGTGGTAGAGGAGAATTTTTCCATTACTGAATGTACCTTATTCCTCTTCTTTAAAGAGAGGCGAAAACTATTACGACTTCTCAACTTGGAAACTAACACGAGACAGAAAATTGTTCTGATAACTCACAGAACTGCGCCTTAACCACAACTTTACAAGCATTCACTCATCTATAGTTTCTTAAGACCCCATAAGAAACCACATCAATTCAGAAAAACAGGGTGCCTCACCAGTAGAGACTAAATACTGACACGGGGTGATATGGGCCCAACCCTGCAACCAAAATATTTCAGGAGCAAATGTCTCTTGTGGACTTTGAGCATCACCTAAAAAGAAGTGTTAAAAGAGAATCGACCAAAACCTAGTTTCTCATAATTAAGTCAACAAATGGAACATGTAATAGACCATAAGGGGGAAATCCATATAGGTCATACATGTATATTAACTGACCCAAGCTGGAACATTCTGACATAGAGACTGGTTCTTCATTCCTTTTTTAGTTTCCTTGGAGAAACCCCCAAATTACATTCCATAGACCTGAGAGCTCCCTCATTTTGCAGTTGATGAAACTGAGACCCAGGGAGGTTATGATTTTCCTTAAGATTACAAAGTTAAGTAGAATAGCCAGGATTCAAATCCAGGGTCTTTCCATTCTGAATTCCATGGTTTTGCCATGATATGGAGCTGCAGAAATTAGCCACTTTGTGCCCCCCTCCCCCACTCCAATACAATAAATATATTTACAGTAGAAACACTTGACTGATACTACTTCTGAGAACTCATGATATGTATGTACATCTATCTCCTGCTTTGCTCATCCATTATGCTATCTTCTCACCTGAAAGATTTGGTGTTAAGCAAAAAATGTTCTCAGCCTCACGCTGGGATGAAAACTTCGTTTCCAATCCACAGAACTGAAAAAACAATGCCTAACGAGGTGGTACCTGTTCCATTCCAGAAGGTACCTGTCAGCCTTACTTCAGCCCCTCCAGGCATGCAATGAGCCTGCTGTCATGAGGCACTTCTCTAACATAGCAGAAGGGGCAGGCAGAATCCCAAGGACCACAGCTCCCCAGAACTGAGAGCTGCTTCCTCAGCTCGCACGAGTGCCACAATGGCGAGATGAGGATGACAAGCACTTGTTACCAGTGATTGATTGCTGTTGAATTTCTCTCAACAAAAATATCCAAAACAGGTGCCTTCACCTCACCCAAGTCCCTGTTTTTTGGCTCTAGGCACTTCTGAAAGTGCTTGAGCCATCTCTGAACTGGAAATCACAAGGCACAAGAAACTCCTAGCTTTCAGGAAGGCGGGCACTCTCTTCCCTATCGGCCCTGTTCCATTTGTGTTGAGATTCAGTTCCAATCTTGGCTCTCACTTTCTGGTTCTGCCATACACAACCTAGGAGACGTTGGGCACATCCCTTCCCCTTTCTAAGCCACTGTTTCTTCATCTGCAAAATGAAGAGGATCTCTAAGGTCCTTTCTTCAAGAGTATATGGATTTCCATAAACAATGTGTGAAAAACTAGAGAGATGTACGAAGCAGGGGAATTAATACGGGAAGCAACCTAATATGTATAGCGGCTTTTGAGTAAGGAAGATAAATTTGATTCCTGGCTCAGGCACTTTCTAGCTGTGTGATCCTGAGCAAGTCACTTAACCTCTGACTGTCTCAGTGGCCTCAACTGCAGAATGGAGATAACTACCACATACTTTACAAGGTTGTTGTAAGGATGAAATGAGATCATACATATAAAGTGCTCTGCAAATGTTGAAGTGCTATGAAAATGATAATTCCTTAATGAGACCTCTCCTAGAACATCAAAGAATAATTGTTTTTTTCTTTAAAATAGTAATTTTTGGGGCAGCTAGGTGGCGCAGTGGATAGAGCGCCGGCTCTGGAGTCAGGAGGACCTGAGTTCAAATCCGACCTCACTAAGCTGTGTGACTCTGGGCAAGTCACTTAACTCCAATTGCCTCACCCAAAAAAAAATAGTAATTTTTAAAAACTTAGTTTTCTGAATTTCAGTGTTCTCAATGTTTTGTTGCAATCAAGTGGCATCAGTTAGCCTTGTAAAAGTTTAAAACAGTATTTTCATTTTCTTCCTCTTCAATCAGTCAACAAGCATTTATTAAGTACTTACTATGTGCCTGGGCGCTATTCTAGGTGCTTAGATACAGAAAAAAAAGAAACAGTCCCTGTCCTCAAGGAGCTTGCATCCTCACCCCTCTTCATCTCCTTTTTACACCTTATGTTTCTTTAGACAGAAAGCTCCCCACCAGACTCCTGAGAGACAGGCAGCGCTGGAAGAACCCTCCTTTAGGGAAGAGGCAAACAGGACTCTTGAGATTCTCTGGGTCACACAGAGTCAGAGCCAGGACTCAAAGAGACTCCAGGGCCAGCACTGTGCCACACTTGAGGAAAAGCCTCAGGTTTTCTCTTTATAATTCCCAGAGTTAGCTGTCCTGATTTATTGTAAACAAACAAACATGGCAACCAGCAGCAACCTACCTTTTGCACTAATGCTACGCAGATCTGTGATTTTCATTAGGATCTTTGGAAACATGTGAGGCTTATTGGGCCGTCTCTTTCTGATGTAAATTTTCAGCGCTTCCAGCAAAGGTTCTTGTAGCTTATCCACTTTTGTTGGCTCCTCTAGGTCCTGACGATCTAGAGACCAGGAAGAAAGTATGCAGTTACTGGGGACGCGGTGGGGCAGAAGTCTCTGATTTCATTAGTACGGGGACCAGCTGGCTAGAGACTCCATCTCCCAATGCAGGGGGCCACCTCTGCCACTCAGAGTCTTGCAGAGCTGGCTAGAGCATTAAGGGACCCAGTGACTTTCCTGAGGCCAGCTGCCTATGTTAGATGCCACCCTGCAGTCATGAGGAGGGTTAAAAAGCAGCCATGCATCTGCTGTTTGCAGGATTTCATCTGCAGCCCTGATAAACCAAACCTCACCTTCCCTCCCTCTTGTCCTTACTTGGCTGTTCATCTTAAAAGCAGTAAACTTGGCCCCTCTGAATCTGGTGGTGCAGTCCCTTTTTAAATTTAGAACAAATGTGCCAAACTGAACATTGGATGAGAGATCATAGAATCTCTGAGCTGGAAGGGACCTCATAAGCCTCTGCTTGAAGACCTCCAGCGAAGAGGAGCCCGCAATCTGTCCGTGCATCCCATTTCGCCTTGGGGTCACTCTAATTGTTAGAAAGTTTGACATAAAGCTGAACCCTGCTATTTCCGTAACTTCCTCCAAACTAGAGTTCTTGCCTTGAGTAACTGGTTTAAGTGAAGTCCCTGTCTTGGCCAGAAGATGGCATTACAGAACTAAGAGACCACAAATCTGGGACTGCTTTAAAGAAGGGAGCCCATCTCTTAAAGCCATTGTTATTTGTTTAACCATTTGTGATACAGTTACTTTGAAATGCTAATATCTCACTGGAAAGAAGACTCCTCACTCTACTGCGGCACCAACGGGCCAATGAATTCAAGTGTTTCAAGTGGGGGCTAACTTAATATCCCATTCAAATTCCCCAAGCCACCAATAAGGTGTTCCTGGAGAATTTGACAATAGTATAATCCTGCCTAAAAACAAACAAAAAAAAGAATGGAAAAAAAAAAAACCCCTGCAGTACTCAGCAAAACAGTATTTTTGAATCTTCAAGGAGAAGAAGCTTAAATACCATCATTTAGCTCACAAAAACAGGTAAAAATAAAACAAAAAATAATCTCCAGATGCTATTGATTCTCTTCCTATGCCTTGTCTCCTGAAAAATAAGCCTGCTGTAGAGATGTGGATGATGCTGCCTTCTCCTTATCAAAGCTCAAAGACAGGAGACCCTCATGGCCAGTACCTCCACAGATTAAGCAGATGGCACTAAGAAGGCCTGTCTCTGTGTCATCCATCTCCAAAGGCAGGAGTTGATTGGCAAAGGTGAACACCAGATCCGTGAGAGGTCCAAAGCCGGCATTGTGCATCTGGGTTCGGTTTAGGGTAAGGCCATCGGAAAAGGTCATTGTGTCTTGTTCAGGTGTGTATCTTGTGCAGATTCGAAGAATCTGGGGGGAAAACAAAATTGAAAACTTTAGGAAGGAAACGATGAAAGAGACACTTTATAGAATCTGATGAAATAATAATTCATTTGTAGGAAAAAAAGATCTAGAACATCAAGGGAAATAATGGGGGTGGGAAGGAAGGAATAAGAAGGGAATAGCAGTCAGAACTCAAACCATATTATGAAGTAGCAATCATCGAAACCATTTGGTACTGGATCAAATGAGATATTTGTGGAGTTCTTGGCACAGTGCCCGGCAAGAGTAGGCACTTAATAAATGCTTGTTCTTTTTCCTCTCCCCTCCTCTATAATGTTAAAAAATAGAAAAGTCCATCAATAAAACGGATTACACGAGGGAGAATCGGAGATAATGGAAGTTAATAATCCAGTACTCAATAAACTCCAAACATAAATTACTTGGGAAAACACTTCTATTTTATAAAACTGTCTGGGAAAACTGAAAAGCAGTCTGGCAGAAATTAGGCTTCACCAATATATTATACCATATTCCATTATAAATTCAAAACGGACATTTGACCTGAATACAAAAATAAGTAGAGAAACAAATCATATGCCTCTTAGAGCCGTGCATAGAAAATGAATCCTTAACTAAACAAGGGATAGAGTCAGTTATAAAAGACAAAATGAGTAACTCTGATTACCTGAAATTGAAAAGCTTTTGTGTGAACAAAACTAATGGCTCTAGGATAAGCAAGGCAGTCAATGGGTAAAAAATTTTCCAACAGTTTTTTTGGACAAGAGTTTGGTATTCAATATATTTAGATAACTAACAAATATATAATACCAAAAGTTATCCCCCAAATAAATGTGTTCAAAGGATATGAACAATTTTCAAAAGAAGAACTGCAAACCATTTTTAAATTTTTAAACATTTTTTATTTATTTTAGAATTGCAAACTATTCACCACCACAGGAAAAAACGTGGCAAACCACAAATAATGAGTAAGAGACGGCCAAACTGGACTTTTTAAAGGAATTCTTCCTCATGGGGAGACCTCAAACATCCTAGCTCTTACATCCAAGTGACATGGAAGTTGAAATTAGTCAAGTGTCTTCCTTAGAAGAGATTCATTTGTAAAGCAACCAGAAGGAGAACCAAGTTTTAAGATATACCTGACCTCATCAAAGCACTGTTGACTTCCACTCTCTCATGGATCTGATCCAACTATGAGCTGTATCAGTCACCTTGTTGGGCATTCAACTTCTGCTTAAAGATATCCTCCCCCTTCCCCAGACATTCCTAAGAGTTCACTATATCCTAAAGCAGCCCATTCTGAATGGCTAAAATTGTGAGAAATTGTTTTTTCTGATATCAAGTATAAATTAGTTGTCTTCTTTTCAGAACCACTGCTCCTGGTATTGTCTTCTGGGGCCTAAAAGAACAAGCCTAAACCTCTTCCATATGACAGTTCCTGTCCTCCCCAACTCCCCACCTGGTCTTCTCTTTTCCAGGCTAAACATCCCCAATTCATTCAATTGATCCTTATATGTCACAGACCCAAGACCCATTTACATCTGTGTCTCCTGAAACCTCCTCCTTCCTTCATGGTCCAACTCAGACACCACCCTCCACTACATGGTCTTTTATAGACCTTCCTTTCAAAAGAAATCATCTCTCCCATCTCCAATTTCTAAGAGCATTTTACTTAGCCTAATGCTAACACTTCTATCACATTATACCTTGCATCATACTTATCTGTAGATCTGACTCCACCCAACAAAAATGCATAGAAATGGTCAGCTTTCTCAGGGCAAAGCTGGTGACATTTTCTATCTTTGTATCCATAGCACATTGTGGAATCTAAAGAGTTACCTTCTTAGGGCAATGGAAAGTCATATGGCAGGTGTGAACAGTCTGTAACACAGAACATGTAAAAAGCTACAAAGAACTAAAGGAAAAGATGTCATTGAAGAATTACATGACTGAAAAAAGGTGGGTTGGTCAAGTAACGAGAATACCAAAGGATAGCCCATGTGCTCCTCTGGTCTTCTTGCACATCAAGAGAAAGCAAGAGAAAGTTCCAACACATTGGATGGACTTTCTATGGCAGTTATAGGAAGACATGGACAAGAGCCAGGAAGGATGAGAAAGCATGGAAGGACCATGATCTAGGTCACTGGATAGAAAAGCCCCAGGGATGAGAACGCAGATACATAGGGGTGGGTATTTGAACATTCCTAGTACCCAACATGGTACCCTCAACGTCTGCATGTTATGAGTGTTGAAATGGGTTTTCTCTTCAACAACCTGTTTTTTCAAGTCTACTTATTCCTTGTACTCAAAACTTCCGTATCTTAGTGAATAGCCAATAGGAATTTTTTATGGTTGAAAACCTTTATAACCTAGTGGCCATAGAACTGGTAATGAATCTCTCATCCTCAGCTGGCCGGGTCTTCAGATGATAGTCATAAAGCCAGTCTGTATTCAAAGCACTTCCAGCTTGGTAGGAATTGCCATCAACCAATTAATCAACAAACATTCGTTAAATGCCAACTGTGTGCCAGATCTGTTCTAGGTGCTGAAAATACAAAGGCCCTGCTCTCAGGAAGCTTATATTCTGTTAGGAGAGTTATCTATACATCTATGTATGGAAAATAAACACAAAGTAATTTTTAGTCAGGGAAGATAACTAGTATCTGAATCAATCAGGTAAAGACCTACCATAGAAGATATTCTTGAGCTGAGCTTTTGGGAAAGCTGGGGATTCTAAGAAAAGGGAGTATATTCCAAGGCAGAGGGGACAAGCTATGCAAAGGTGTGGAGATCAGAGATCACACGAGGGACAGCAGGAAGGCAGATTTGGTTAAACTGAACAATGCCTGAAGGAGAATAACATAAAATGGCTGGAAATCTGGGTTGAAGCCAGGTTGAGAAGGACTTTAAATGTCAAACAAAGGAGTTTGTGTTTGATGCTAGAATAGGGGGCCATTGGGGTACACTGAGCAGGGAAGTGACATCGTCAGACCTGTGCTTCAGCGACATCACCCTGGCGAGTTCTGCAGAGACTGGATTTGCAGAGTAGAGGGAACAGGAAGGCACTTGAGGCAGGGAGACCAATGAGCTGGCCATTCCAATACTCCAGGCCAGAGGTGCTACGAGTCTGAAGTGAGGTGATGGCCACATGCGTGAAGAGAAGGAAACGTGTGGGTGAGATGCTGGGGAAGCAGAATCAACAAGGCGCGGCAATTAACTTATTTAACGGCTTAGGGTCACCTCTGCACCGCGGTAAAGTATCAAAGGAGGACTTCAGTGGAAGACACCAGGTCAAATGTATGTATGCTGAGGATAGAATAAGTCGAGTCTAAACACACAGGCTACCCCAGCTTTGTAACAGGACCCAGCACTGGGGCAGCTAGACGGCTCAGTGGATAGAGCGCCAGCCCTGGAGTCAGGAAGACTCATCTTCTTGAGTTCAAATCTGCCTTCAGACACTTACTAGCTGTGTGACCCTGGGCAGGTCACTTCACCCTGTTTACCTCAGTTTCCTCCTCTGCAAAATGAGCTGGAGAAGGAAATGGCAAACCACTGCTTTGTCAGACACAACCGAAAATGACTGAACAACATATCTGGTACAAATCCCGGCAGAGTTACACACTTTGTAATTATGGACAAATCATTTCACCTTTTGAAGCTTCAGTTCTCTCATCTGTAAAATGAGCTAAAGAAGGAAATGGCAAACCACACTAGTATGTCTACCAAGAAAACCCCAAATGGGGTCACAAAAAGTCAGACATTACTGAAATAACAACAAAAACACAACAAAGCATTTGGATAGTGCGCAAAGCACTTTACATCTGTGATCTCACTGGATCTTCCCAACAACCCTGGGAGGAAGGTGCTATTCTTATTCTCATTTTACAAGTGAGCCTCAGTAGGCTCAGGGAGGCTGTGACTGACGCATGGTCCTACATGTAAGAAATGTCAGAAGCGGGATTTGAACTCAGGTCTTTTTTGCTCTGAGGTCCAGCACTCTATATCCCATGCTGCCTCCCTGACACTCAGAAGTGAAGACTGTGACATCAAGCCCATGAACTCCCTTGCCTTGGCAAAGCACAGAAGGCAAGAGAACCTTCTAAACAACATGATAAACGTGTTTTTCATTCTGGCAATCCTGGCAGCGTTTCCTGAGGAATTATTTAGAATAAGTCAGTTGTTTGGGCCTAGGAATTACGAAGCTTGGGCACGGCGTTCCGGGGTTTGGGGAGGGTGGGGTGGGGAGAGGTGAGTTCAGTTCAAGCCAAACACGAAGATGTTTATTCAGCCTCGCTGTTTATTTTTTGTCAGCCCTGTTTACTGGGAACATGCTACCAGACAGCTCAGCGTGTGCCAACAGGACTGCCCACCACGCATCGAATTTCTCTTCGGAGCAGAAAACAGAGCATGCTCACACCTCTCCCACCCAACACCCAAGAAGTGTAGACAGGCCAGGTGGGGCGTGGTGGAAGCAGCCGCAGACCTGGGAGCAAAAAGCAGCGTTACCGGGACTGCGTCACTGAAAGCCTCGGAATGCTTCTTCCTCTATGAAGTGGGGACAGGGCTTGGCCTGAGAAGTCTCACTGGAACGAGGGAGAGCCACCAGCACACCTCCTTCCCAGGAGAGACAGCAGAGCAGGGCAGCTGGCCCCACACTTACGTTTGCTCATGGGGCAGGGTGAGCTGGGAAGTTGTTTTTGTTGTTGTTTGGTCATTTCAGTCGTGCCTGACTCTGTGACCCCATTTGGGGTTTTCTAGGCAGAGATAGTGGAGTGGTTTGCCATTTCCTTCTCCAGCTCATTTTACAGATGAGGAAACTCAGGCAAACTTCAGGGTGAAGTGACTTGCCCAGGGTCACACAGCGAGTAAGTGTCTGAGGCCAGATTTGAACTGGGAAAGATGAGTCTTCCTGACTCCAGACCCAGGGCTCTATGCATGATGGCACCTCCTAGGAAGACCTGGGTACAAATATCACTCGTGTGAACTGGAGCAAGCCATATAACCTCCAA